GGACTGGGGAGACCAGTGAACATTTTTCTTCGCATGCCAATAAAGTTTGTTGCACGTTTCCAATTTCTTCGGTGGGTACCTGCTTTTCATAACAAAGAGCTCATTTCTCACCATCTTTCACAGCTACTTTTAGAAGGGAGTCCAACATTTCTTGCCTCTTGTCCTCTTTCCCCGCCAAAGCAAAAGCATATGCTAACAGAGCCCGGAGATAAATGTGGATCTCTTTTGCTTCAGTCACCTTCTCCAGGCAAACTAAAGCATTCCGCACCACAGGATGCTGCAGAGGAGAAAACGTTTAATGGAAGTCAATATAGCAGTATAGAAAGCATATTTATCTCCACCCTATATTAACCAGGGTCGTGGTCATTTGTCATAAAGCATAAGTGAAAGTTAATCATCACGGAAATTAAACGTTTGAAGAAAGTTGCCAGAGTGATCAGAAGGGATAAAATTTAAAAAATGAGATTGCAAGGGAAAGAAATGGAATAGATCCAATGTTAAACTATATGCAAAAATAGCAAGTTAAGTGATCATTTAGAGAGAGTGTCTTGAGATTCTGTCTAAACCATAGAAGCATATACAAAAAGAGAAAGCCAAAGAATATGAGGCAGACCCAGAAGAAGATGGACAGACAACATCAAAGTCACACAACAATAGCATCAAATAACAGTGATTTAGGCCACCAAAAATGCAAGAACCAGAACTTTGTATCTCCTTTGACACTTGAAATGATGGAGGAGGAAGAGGAGGAGGAAGGTTCCTGAAGAGGAGATTGTGAAGAAACTCAGGATCTTGGAAAAGCCCTCTGATCAAATTGGCTTTATTATTCATTTAAGTTGTTAAACAGTCTTCACAACAATACACCAACAAGCAAGCTGATGGTCTAACAGATGCAAGCCAGTTGTTATTTTCTTCCTCCAAGGAAAAGAAAGAACTCAGAAGCTCAGGATAAACGAAGAGCACAGAAATGTCAGCTCTTGAGCTGCTCATCTTGGTATTTCTGCTGCCTGAGCCACTATCAGCTACTTGCTCTTCCTACATGCTCCTGTGTTTTTGGAACAAGGCTTAGCAATTCCTCCCTAGGTGAGGTCCAAGATGAGAATGCTGGTGGGTCAATTATGAGAGGAAGAGGAGCAGGGAAAATCAAGATTGACAATGGTGCTTCTGTTATTTGCGAAAAGAAGCTTCTTTCCAGTTCACATAAAACTCCTTAGAAAGCAAGTCAAAAAGTCTTCACCCTAATTTGTTGAAAGACAACATGGTCCTAAAGTGAAAGCTGTTGATGTTGTCAAAACCTTTTCCCTCTCCTTTCAATAAGTTTTGCTAAAGAAGACTGTGAACACCTTGCTTGGAAGAATTACTTTGGTGGAGTCAGCTGCCAAGAGTCAGAGAGAGCTGGCCGTTAGAAGCCAAATCTGAAGAAACAAGTTAGGGGAGAACTGATTGTCTTGTTGGCATTGTTACAGTAGCCAGGAGACCACAATATTATTGCAGAGTAGTAGTTTGACTTGCCAAGGTACAGCCCTGTTATAGGATACACTTGCGTGTTTCCCAAGGTGCACCACAGGAGGGTGAGCTGACTTCGCACCAAAGAGAAAGGTGAGTGGTTCTTCCTGCAGCATCACCCAAGGCCCCCTCCCTTCCCGGAGCTGCCTCGCAAATTGGCACCAAAACCGAAAAGGTTTAGAGCTATCAGGAATCTGATTGCCTGCACAGAGCACCAGTTTGCCTCCTCACCAAAGTAGTACCTATCTATTTACTTGTATAAAACATGCTTTTGAATTGTTAGGTGACAGAAGCTAAAGCAAGCGACAGGAGCTCATCCTGCCACATAGTACTTCAGCTCAAACCACCGGAACTGAGACCATCTCTGACATTAAGCCACTGAGCCACCGTGCCTCTTAATTGATTGGAGAGAGAAAAGGACAGAATTGATTAGAGAAGAGGAGGGATAAGGAAGAGGTAATTGGGCTTATTCAGCTTGTACAATTACATTTTGGGTTCACCAGACTATGACATGACTTTGCATGTGCCATGAAGCTGGTCAGATGTGGTCTATTTCATTAGCCTAAATGATTGTGAACTCCATGACCAAGTGGGAACTTGAACATGGGTTTCCTCACTGCTAGTTTACTGCAATCATGGTTGCACTTTGCACACTTACGGTGGGAGGTAGCGGCACTTCCAGCAAAGCAATGGTGATGTAAGTTGAAAGAGTGGTCTTGTCATCAACTCCCCCCTGCAGGAGAGAGAGATATATATCAGCTGCACGATTATACAAAGAACTTCCACTATCTTCTATCATCCATCCAATCTTTTCAAATTTGTATTATATCTCCCTCACAAGAAAACATGGAGTTGTGGGAACTGAGCAATACAGTGGTGCTTTTTCAGGAGGCAACTGGACTTTCTTGTCTTTTCTTTTGAAGATGTTTCGCTTCTCATCCAACAAGCTTCCTCGGCTCTGACTGGATGGTGGGGAATGGAAGGATTTATAGACAGCTGGTCATTTGAATTCTTTTAGTGAGTCCAGGGGTGGGCTGCTATTGATTCACACTGGTTCAGGCAAACCAGTTGTTAATTTTATGGCCAGTTTGACGAACCGGCATATGCCACACCTGTTGGCCCCGCCTACTCCACCCCTCCCCTCCCAGGAGTCCCCATGTGGTTCATTTTTTAGATTGTACCGTGTTTCTCACAAAATAAGGCCAGGCGAGCCGAGCGAGCATCTCTGCTGCTGCTACCCTTGGTGCTCCAGCCTCAGGCTCTGCAAATTTGCAAAAGTCCCGGTGCGCAGCCTGTTCCTGCATTCCAAGCACCCAGGCCGAGCTGCAGCTGTCCCTCTCTCGCCACCGCCATCTCCAATAACAGCAGCAGCAGCAGCGGGAACTGTGGAAGCGTTTCAACTGCTTCTTGGGCGGGGGAGCTGCCTCCGTAACTTCCACAGTTCCCACCGCTGCTGCCACTGTTATTGGAGATGGCGCTGGCAAGAAAGGGACTGCTGCAGCTCGGCCTGGGGGCTTGGAATGTAGGAACAGGCTGCGCACCGGGACTTTTGCAAACTTGCAGAGGCCAAGGCTGGAGCACCAAGGGTAGCAGCAGCAGAGACGCTCGCTCGGCTCTTCTCACGCCCACCCAGCTGCTCGGAATTAAACCAAAACACAGCTCACGGTGCTTCCAGGTACCTCAAAATCTTTTTTCCCCCTGTTGTTACAGAGATGGGGGGAAAGCGGAGGCGACTCAGATGCTGTTGTTGGAGACGGTGGTGGCAAGAGAGGCGCCAGCACCAGTGGGAACTGTGGAAGCTACGGAGGCCTGAGAAGCAACTGAAATGCTGCCGGACATCCATGCCGATGCCGCCCGCCTGCTAACCCGGGTAAGGGAGGGGTAAGGGAGCCCTCTGTGCTCTACCATGATTGGCTGTTAGGAGCGGCTGATGGTGAGGTGTAGCTGTCCATGGGGCACTCCTAATGGCAAGTTCCCCCCTGCCTTCCCCTTCCAATTTCGCATGTTTTAAACTAGGCCTAAATTTGGGGGGAGGGGCTTAATTTCATTTTATGCCTAGAAAACATGCTGGGTCTTCCTATTGGGGGGGCGTATTGTTGGAGAAACACGGTAGTTAAGTGCAGGGATCATGTGGAGGTTCGGGGAGAGCAAAACACAAACCTCTGAAGCCCGGGGAGGCCATTTTCACCCTCCTAGAGGCTCGAGGAAAGCCTCCTGAGCCTGAGAAGGGTAAAAAATGGGCCTCCCGGAACTTCCAGAAGGCCAGAAACAGGCCTCCAGAGCCCGGGGAGGGTGAAAATGCCCACCCCCATGGCCCGTTTTTGCTCTCAGATGTCAGTGTTCCAATGAAACTCCTTATTTCATAAGAATTTATTGAAGAAGTAAATATGGCTAAGTAAATATCTAAGTAAAATATGGCTTCCAAGGCTGACACCATGGTGGCCATGCCCACCGTGGACACGCCCACTCAGCAACTGGGCAGAGAAACGGTTGTTAAATTAATTGAAGCCCATCCCTGAGTGAGTCATCGAGGCCACTAGGAGGTTTATGTATGTCATCAGGGTCACCTGAATAGTGCAAATGTGTGTGGAGCTTTCTTAGCTGCAGGATGTTGTTTGCCCTGTGTTCCTTTTCTGCTGAAGGCAGGTGCAGGCTATTGAGGATGAGTCTGTGCTGCCTGCATCTCAAATTGAAGCACAAATGGTTCGTATTCTGCAATTTTTCTGGAAATCCGTTCATACTCCTACACTATTCGAAGGGTGTTCATCCCAAAATGCATAGCTAAATGAGCTAAATAGCTACACTATTCTAAATAGCTAAATAGCTACACTATTCGAAGGGTGTTCATCCCAAAATGCATAGCTAAATGTCTTTGTCTTCAAACAAAAAGAAGAAAGTTCAATTGCCTCCTGAAAATGCACCCTTGGGCACTTCTGAAGATACTGTGTCAGTTTTTCGTGTAAAACGTTAAATCCTGACTGCTGAATATTCACGAGTCTTTCTGTTTTGTCAATGTTGTCCTTGTTCATTAACAGAAAGACAACACATATTTTCTTCCGGATTAGAAATCCAGAGTAATTCCCAATCATTCTCTATGTGGCCAAACCAACTCAATCTGCCTGTATCTTCAATTCACATTCCTTCTTGAGCTGAATTTGTTTCATGACAGTCCAAAGTTACAACAGGCTTGGAATAAACCAGCTTTCAATACATCCTCAAAAGTACGACTCTCACACCACTCATGAACACAATTTGGGCACTTGGCAACTGGCTTGCATTTACGACAGTTGCATAGTCCTGTTGTGATCATAATCTGCAACCTTCCTGGCCAGTTTTGGACAAAAAAAGTGAATTGGGGAAACCAGATTCACTTAACAACCATGGTGATTCGTTTAACAAGTGCCATAAAAACAGTCATAATATCAGGTTGGCCATGTGATGACTTGCATAGCAACTATATCATTTAGAGTCCCAAATTGTGACTCCAATTGTGGTCATAAATCGAGGACTACCTATAATACCAATATACCCTACTCTCATTTCCAAAGACACGTCTCCGTTTTCTTTCACCTTCCTCTTGTACCTTGAGGTTATTGTTAAAAAGAGACCCAGTGCTCCGAAAGCATCCATCATTCTCCTGCTGCCGTGTCAGTGAGTTATGAGCGTCGATGATGTGCTTGTCTTCCACAAAGATTATGGATCTTGCTCGAGCAAAAGATTTCAGCACAAAAGCCGTCAGCCTATAAGACAGCACAGAGCACAGGAGAACCTCATTTTTCTTTTTCTAGTTCCCAAGCTCCTACGATATTCGGCCATCTTGGGATTGAAGAACCCATTGAAAGAAGGTATCAAGAAAGGAGGACAGCTATAACTGGGCAGTCAAAGCCCCCTTTTGCACCAGCAATGTGGTGGTTGCACAGGTATAGGCAATTATCTTCACTTTTTAAAAAACCATTCCCGAGTATTCCCCCGCTTGATATGCTTATACCATGTTTCTCTTCAATCCTGCACATGTGCTGGACCCTTGGTAAGGAGGAATAGTCCATTTCCCTGCTGTATAAATTGCATCCTCCCCTTTTTAAAAACATCCCTCAATAAATTGGGGAAGTGTCTCTTGGGGATCACATGAATATGCCTGTGTGATGTTCTTGGCAGCAATATGGCACTGTCTTCCCATTTTCTTCTTCTGGGATGCTGTTTCAACATCCAAATTTAGCCTAAAGCCATGGTATTTCCTAGTGGCTTCCCATCCAAAGACTAAAGGGAACCAACCTTATATTTTGGCGACTTGTGGGTGTGGGTGGTCTTAAGAGATTCTTTGGTTGGGCTGTTTACTTATGGTTCTTTGACAGTTTATTGTTTGGGGTATTGTTTACTTGATTGTTGGTATGAGGTTGACTTTGGAGTTAATCTATGCTGATCTAAGTGCTGATTATTGGTGGAGAGTTGCTACCAAGCTTTTGGGCTGGTTGATTGTCTCTTTTGCATAATCTATAGATGTTGCTAATGTCTATGTGTCTGTTAATGGCTCATTTGTCAGAGTGCCAGGCTTCTAGAAATTCCCTGGCATTTTTGGACTTGGCCAAGTAAACAGCTCAATCAAAGAATCTCTAGGACCATCCCCACCCACACAGACAGGCAAGACACCAGAATATAAACGGACAGCAAACTGCACTCCTTACTAGCACTGATGATATGACCTAGTTAGGGTAATGAAATGTCTGCAAGAAAACAGCCAAGCTCAGAGAGCACCAAGGACCCCTCATTTCAATCCCCAGCTACAAATATTCTCCTTTATGGCTCCTGAATTGTTTGAATGTTGATTTGGTTAGTCCATCATTGTAGAAAGTTTGGGAAACGTGACCTTAAGAACAAAGAAATCTTACCAAGTGTTCCCTTCTTTAGAGTAAGATTCTCCAAAAGCGCTGTAAGAACCATCACGATGCTTGTAGTTCAGTTGCCGTTGATAGCCTGAAGTGGAAGAGTAAATTTAGAGGCGAGCTGAGCAGCAGGTGCATTTCCAAACCCAACTGAAATATTTACTTCAAGTTTGTGATTCAAGATACAGAAGGATCATGACAGACTTGGAACAGTGGGCGCTATCTAACAAAATGAAATTCAGTGGTGAAAAAAGTAAGGTTCTTCATTTAGGCAAGAAAAACAAAATGTACAGGTACAGTATACACAGTTCTAGGCTACATAAACAGGGATAGAATCAAGATCAAGGGTTAATACCATTTTATAATGCCTTGGTAAGGCCACACTTGGAATACTGCATTCAGTTTTGGTTGCCACAATATAAAAAAGATGTTGAGACTCTAGAAAGCGTGCAGAGAAGAGTAACAAAGATGATTAGGGGACTAGAGGCTAAAACATAGAAAGAATGATGGCTGAAACTTGGTATGTCTAGTTTAATGAAAAAAAGGACTAGGGTTGACATGATAGCAGTGTTTTGATATCTCAGGGGCTGCCACAAAGAAGAGGGAGTCAACCTATTCTCCAAAGCACCAAAAGGCAGGACAAGAAGCAATGGATGGAAATTAATCAAGGAGAGAAGCAACCTAGAACTAAAGAGAAATTTCCTGACATTTAGAATAATTAATCAGTGGAACAACTTGCCTCCAGAAGTTGTGAATTCTCCAACACTGGAAGTTTTTAAGAAGAGATTGGATGACGATTTGTCTGAAATGGTATAGGATTTCCTGCCTAAGCCGGGGGTTGGACTAGAAGACCTCCAAGTTCCCTCCAAGGACCACTATATTGCTACAGAAATGCATGAAACCAAAGATGAAAATCTCCTAGAATGCATATGGTCAATATAAAAGAAAAAAAGAATGATATGGCCATAGGTGTATGTTGTGACCGGGTTTGGAATCTGCTCCTTTGGCAGATGGGAGTTCGAGCTATGAGATATAAGATATGGCAGGGAAATATGAGCCGGCATTGATAAGTGACTTGGATGTTAGCCAGGATGAGGAAATGGATTTAACAAGGAGAGATGAACCTGAGTTAGTGGAGATGTCAGGACTTTCGACCTTCTCTAATTCTTCCTCTGAGCAACAGCCGGGAATAACTAACAAGGAAAACATGCGAGAGTTTTCCAGCAAAGAAGAGAACTTTGAGAGATCATGGCTCGACGTAAGAAATAGACGTAGGTTAAGACGTCAAACTCAGTTAGGAAGGAGGCGTCGAGCCAGTGACTAATTAGGGAAATTAACACGCTCCATAAGAGCAGTGATCCCCAACCTTTTTGATGCCGCGGCCCGGTACCGGCATCAGCTGGGCGCCGCGGCCCGGTACCGGCATCAGCTGGGCGCCGCCATCTTTTTTTGATGAAAACGTGCTTCCGGTGAGCTTTCTACCCGGAAAAGCTCACCGGAAGCACTTTTTCATGAAAAAAAGATGGCGGCGCCCAGCAAGCCGCGGCCCGGTAGGAGTTGTTCCGCGGACCGGTACCGGTCCTCGGACCGGTGGTTGGGGACCCCTGCATAAGAGGATAAAAGGAAATGGCTGGGCTGGTGAAATTCGCCAGAAGCAAAGTGATTAATGGGAGTGAAAATATGACAAGAACTCTTGAGACTTTGAGAATTTATTGCCACGTCAGGATTGCTGGACAGAGTGTGGATTTACTATTGAGGATTGGAATACCTCAATAGTTCTCTTGTGGGGGTTTGTTTTTTGGTTTGTGATATTTTTGGAACTGCTGAATTTTGTTTTGCTCATCTGTAATTAAAGGGGAGACATAACAGGTATATATTATAGGCCACCCAATCAAGCAGAAAATATAGACGTCCTTTTTGCCAGCTAACTAACAAATATATGCAGGAAACACACAACAATAGTAATGGGAGACTTCAATTATCCTGATATCAATTGGAAAACTAATTCCTCACCAAGTGAGAAATCAAATAAGTTCCTAACCAACCTAGCTGACAACTTTGTTGTCCAAAAGGTAGAGGGTGAAACTAGAGGGACAGCCATATTGGACTTAATTCTTACAAACAGAGAAGAAGTGATAGAGGGAGTTGAAACTGCAGGAACCTTGGGTGAGAGTGACCATGTCATACTAGAATTCAACATAACACAAACACAAGCAACAGAACATAATGACACCAGAGTCTTGGATTTTAAAAGAGCTGATTTCAATAAACTCAGAGAGAACTTGGGAAAGATTCCATGGATAAAAAGCCTAAAGGGGAAAACCACTCAAGAATCAATACCACTGAGAAAGAAAAACAGGAAACAGGGATACAATCAAGATCAAGGGAAGCATGGCTACACAAAGATCTCTCTGGCAAATTGAAAGAAAAAAAGGACAAGTACAAAAAACGGAAAGAAGGACATACAACCAAGGCAGAATATCAGCAGATAGCCAGACTCTGCAAAGACGAAGTCAGGATAGCAAAGGCTCAGAGTGAACAAAGACTTGCAACAAAAGACAAAGATAATAAAAAAAGTTTCTTCCAACATATAAATAACAAGAAAAAATCAAGGAAACAGTCGGTCCACTAAAGAGAGAAGATGGCAAGGAAGTAACAGGCAACAGAGAGAAAGCAGAACTGCTTAACTCATTCTTTGCATCCGTCTTCACGCAAAAAGAAACAATAGCTCAACCCACCAAAAACATAACTGTAAAAGACAGACCAGAAATAAAAGTTAAAATAAGCAAAAAAAAATAGTAAGAGAACACCTGTCTGATCTTGATGAAAACAAATCACCAGGGCCTGATGGATTACATCCTAGAGTTTTAAAGGAGCTGGCAGAGGTCATCTCAGAACCACTGCACCATATCTTTCAAAAATCCTGCAGCACCGGGGAACTACCAGAGGACTGGAAAAGAGCTGATGTGGTTCCCATCTTCAAAAAAGGAAAAAAAACAGACCCAGGAAACTATAGACCAATCAGCCTAATATTAATACCCGGGAAGATACTGGAAAAGATAATAAAAAACAGATATGCCAACATCTAGAAACAAGTAAAGTAATAACTAGCAGTCAGCACGGGTTTGTTAAAAACAGATCATGCCAAACCAATCTTATTTCATTCTTCAACACGGTGGCTAAATTGGTAGACCAGCAAAATACTGTGGACACGATATATTTAGATTTCAGCAAGGCATTCGACAAAGTAGACCACAACCTACTTCTTAGTAAGCTAGAAAAAAGTGGAATAGATAGCACCACTACTAGATGGACTTGCAACTGACTAGCAAACTATACTCAACGAGTTGTCCTTAATGGATTTAAGTCTACATGGAGGCAAGTAAGCCACAAGGTTCCGTCTTAGGCCCAGTATTCTTCAATATCTTAATTAACGACTTAGATGAGGAAATAGAAGGGGAACTTACCAAATTTGCAGATTATATTAAGCTGGCAGGATAGTTAACACCCAAGAAGATAGACTCAAGATCCAGATGGATCTTGACAGACCAGAACACTGGGCCATATCTAACAAAATGAAATTCAATGTAGAGAAAAGTAAAGTCCTACACTTAGGCAAGAAAAACCAAAAGTACACATATAGACTGGGTGAAACCAGGCTCAATAGCAGTAACTGTGAGAGGGATCTTGGAGTCTTAGTGGACAACCAGCTAAATATGAGCCAGCAGTGTGCAGCAGCAGCCAAAATAGCTAATGCAATCCTAAATTGTATTAACCGAGAGATACAATCAAGATCAAGGGAAGTACTAATACCACTCTATAAAGCCTTAGTAAGACCACACCTAGAGTACTGCATCCAGTTTTGCTCACCACACTATAAAAAAGATGTTGAGACTCTAGAAAGAGTGCAGAGAAGAGCAACCAGGATGATTAGGGGACTGGAGGCTAAAACATTACAATGAATGGTTGCAGGAACTGGGCTTGGCTAGTCTAGTAAAGTGAAGGACCAGGGGAGACATGATAGCGGCCTTCCAATATTTGAGGGGCTGCCTCAGAGAGGAAGGGGTCAAGCTATTTTCTAAAGCGCCTGTAGGCCAGACAAGGAATAATGGATGGAAACTAACCAAGAAGAGATTTAACCTGGAAATAAGGAGAAACTTTCCGACAGTGAGAACAATCAACCAATGGAACAACTTGCCCTCAGAAGTTGTGGGAGCGCCATCACTTGAGACTTTCAAGAAGAGATTGGACTGCCATTGTCAGAAATGGTGTAGGGTCTCCCGCTTGGGTGAGGGTTGGACTAGATGACCTACAAGTTCCCTTCCAACTCTGCTTATCTGTTAAACCTTCCAATTCGGTTATTCTATTCTATTCTCTGCTACTGCAGGCTAACTGGGTTGTCCAGAACAGCAAGCCATTGAGCAATATTTTATTTTATTTATTAGATTGTAATCCCTCATTTGCTACCTTTTCATAAGAAATTCAAAAGGGAGAATGTGCATGCTATTCCTTCGTTTTACCTTCCCCATAACACTTTTCTGTTTTCCCCAACCAATCTAGAGTGACTAATCCAAAATCACACAGTCATTTTTTCATACTCAGGCAGTACTAGAACTTACAGCCTCCTGGTTTCTAGGCCAGTGTACACCAAACTGTTTCTCTATATTACTTAACATCTGGAAAGGTTCCAAGAATCTTAGTCAATCTTATCTGTTTAATTTACAACCTCCTCTATTAATACCAGTAACCAATCTGTTGATGGAGCCTTTGAAAGTTTCCCAACTGCAGTAGGGAAAGAATGAGAGGAGAATTCCTGTGGGGTGCTTCTCACCAGCCTCTAAGTATCCGACAGCCTTGGATTTGATCTCCTGTGTCAGTTGTCCAGTCTCATTGAGATAGTTCAGGATGTAGATATTGGGGGCAAAGAGGGCCATGTTCTGCTCCCCACAGCCGTAGGGCATTTGGAGAAGCTGATTGAGGTTCTTTATCGCTCCTCCTAAAATGTCTCCTGAGAAAGGGAAAGAAAAGGACGTATAATAGAGAGGATCTTGCCAACTTTGATCCCCCCCCCCAAAAAAAGATGCCACTGTTTGAATTTCCAGAGAAACCTACCCAATTTTCTCCCACCCTTAGTGTCAGGTCCCTGCCAGAATGCTGCCAATCCAAGGGGGAGCGGGTTGCCATCTGGGACAAGATACTTTGCATGCTTTCACTTTTGCTGTAACCATGTGGGATTTAGGGAGGAGGACCAAGTCAACATGATGGACTCCTCCCAGCCAGCTTTAGCCTGTTACCAAAGTCACGGCATTCTGAGGATGAACCATTATCAACCTAATGCCTCGGGGTTCTCAAAACATCTTTGCGATACGGTATTAGCTATTTTGGAATGAGGGCCATTGGGGTGGGATTTGAATGGGAAGAATAACATAAACTTTGTGTGGGCACTTCAGATTCTGCCTGTTCTCTCTGCAATCCCTTTCTCTCTGTAAAAGTTCCTTTTGAAATGCCAATAATGTTTCAAGAGTCATGCATTCTTGAAAAGGTAGCTGAGGCAGGTTCTTACATTTAACCCAATGCCCCAAAACTGCCAACTGCAGCGATTATCCAACATGCTTGAATACAAGTAGTTTTATATAATTGAACCCAATGTTTCTGTTGCTGAGCAAGATAATTAAGTGAATTTCCCTCCCATTTTATTACCTTTCTTGCCACAATAGTTCAGTGAATCAGTGCCAGGGATTGACTTAGAAAGCACCCAGCCCAGGCTTAATGGAAAACCATCAACCATGGACCATACAGATAATCCTCAGCTTATGACCACAATTGAGCCCAAAATTTCCATTGCTATGGTGAGATAGTTGCTTGCCACAATTGTTAAGTTAATCACTGCGGTTGTTAAGTTAGTAACCAAGTTGTTAAGTGAATCTGGCTTCCCCATTGATTTTGCTTGTCAGAAGGTCGCAAAAGATGACCACGTGACCCCCGGAACACTGCAACCGTCATAAATATGAGTCAGTTGCCAAACATTTGAATTTTGATTAATGTGACCACAGGGATGCTGTAATGGTAGTACGGTAAGTGTGAAAGGTGGTCATAACTCACTTTTTTCAGTGCCGTTGTAACTTCAAATGTCACTAAACAAACTGTGGTAAGTTAAGGACAACTTGTACATGGCATTGGAGTGGCTTCCAGATTGACCCAGGGACCTTATGTGAGAGTGTCCAAGAACAGAATTAATTTCTAAAATGATTAAGACGGTATCTCACTTACCCAGCACACAAAATGAGGCCCTGGCTGAGCCTTCTACAACATTCTCCGGTAATGTCAGAGGAAAAGATTTGGACACGGGTTCTCCTATAAAAGAGATGCAGAACTTTGATCATGGTGCAGGTGGCACTGCTGTTCTAACTGGTCTCTTGGAGCAAGTTCTGCTTAGAAGGCTGAGCTGCAGTGGTGATTTCAGCAGGAATCAAATTGTTCAAGAGACCATATCCAATGTTTATATCCTTACTCCCCACTCTTTCCTCTCCTCTAGGCTTTCATGAATACATGGGTTGGGGAGGTGGTGATCTTCTTTGGAAGGAGGCACTTCAAAGAAGAGCTTACTTTTAGAGTAAGTTAAGAACTGTGTCTACAGGGGCAACGTACCATATGCACAGAGAAGAGAGTTGAACACCATTTCTTTCTCAATCCCTTCAGGCTTCACCGGAACAGAAAGGGAAGGAAAAAGGGAGAGGTGAGAGTCATGTAGTAAAATCGCTGTAGACATAATATGTGAGTTAAGTAGACGAGCACCAAGAAGAAATGTGGTTGTACCCAGAAGATTGTGGTTGGTGATTGAACTGCCCTTTGTCAGAAATGGTGTAGGGCAGAGGTCTCATTCTCGCGGCCCGCGGGCCAATTGCGGCCCGCAGGATGATATCCTGTGGCCCCCACCATGATATGAAAGTATAATATTAGTGCGGCCCGCAGAGGGAATGGACCTCTAAAGGAAGTCCTGCCCGCCGTTCCTCATCGTGGCTGACATTCGGTGCTAGGCTAAGCTACATCGACTTCATGCACACTACGCTTGTAACAACAGTGTGGCGGATGACGAACAGTCCGGTAGCAGTCGCCTTTTTTTGCGGTCGCCATTCCAGTACTTTCTACCATCAACAAATGCCATGATCAAATGCAGAGAAAGGCGACTGCTACCGGGCTGTTCGTCATCCGCCGCACTGTTGTGACAAGTAGAAGCGGAAATGACATTTGAGTTGATGACATTTGAGGATATTTTTTTTAACAATGTTTTTTGTGGAATCCCTTATGCGGCCCAGCCTCACCCAAACTCTGCCTCCAGTGGCCCCCAGGTAAATTGTGTTTGAGACCCCTGGTGTAGGGTCTCCTGCTTAGGCAGGGGGGGTTGGACTAGATGACCTACAAGGTCCCTTCCAACTCTGGTTATCTGTTATCTGTTAGAATTCATATCACTGGATAGATCAACACAGAACTGCTTTGTGTGGTTTCCTAACAAGGTAATTTTTGAGTGTGAAGGTTCATTCTCGGAGCTTGTGGGTTGGTTTCCGAACTTTTCATTATTAGGCTAGGTAACGTCTTCAACAGAGTATGGGGATGTCAGTGTCATAACCCTTTTTATGTAAAACAAAAAACACACACACAAAAAAAAAAACCCTTTTTATGTAAAGTCTTGACTAATCCCTTTTTCTATCATTTGCTGGTTTTCTAAAAAGATCCCCCTTTTGTTGTAGTAATTCATGCCTTATAGTAGCCATGTTTTGTATTGTAAAATGTGTAATCCAAAGGAGAAGAAAGCGAAAAAGCGGGGGGGAAAGATAACCGGGTCCACTAACAATATCCCTTCAGATCTTGCCAGACTTCTCCCAAGGAACACTCCAAAGCTCAGATAGATGATCTCACAGCATTTTTCTTGACCTGGGAAACTCTACTAACTGGGATAAATTGCTGGCTGTTGGCATTTTCCTCACAATCATCTCTGACATTTAACACAAAATATCCACCATCGCTTTACTCAGACATCTGTGTCCTCTCCTTACCCAGCCTGGGTTTAAAGCACCCCACATACCTCAACTAATAACGACTTGATCACGACGTCTTTGTTTCCAATGGTGGGCACCTCCACTACTTCATTCCCACAGAGCTGATCTGAAGTCACGGCCTCTGCACTTGCTGTGAGGTTGATCTCCCCTGGAACAGAAATGGTTCACCTCATTACAATATGTCCCTTTATGTAGTAACGGTATGTGAGTAAGTGCAGTGGCCTGGAGGTAGAGCTCTCACCTCACAATCAGGAGGCTGTGAGTTTGAACCTAGGTAGAGGCACAGTGAGAATATATCTGTTGAAAAGAACTCTGCATTGGCAACAGGAAGGACATCCGGCCAGTAAACACTCAGCTTCATTCAATTGCCCAGATTCCACCCCACAAGCGATGATTGAAATCATTAAAAGATGAGGCCAATGTGGATTCAGCCTTCCATCCTTCCGAGATGGGTAAAATGAGGACCCCAAATTATTCAGCCGGAGAACTTCAATGTTTCCCAAAGGTGAGGAGGAGCTGTCACTTTCAGCACCCGCACACTACATTTCCCGGTGGGCTCCGCGGTTGGGAGAGATTGTCTATCACAGAGAGCCCCAAACTCCAGTCTCCGAGCTTTTGCTCCCAGGCTGCTTTGCGATGGACGGCCTTTCCTGCAAGAGGCGGACTCCATTTCCCGGCACTCCCCACAGCCTGAGGAGGAGGAGGAGGGGAAGGAGCCATTTTTTCCCCGCAAGATGGTGGACAGGGTGCTGAGATTATATTCAAATTCAAATGTTTGTCTGGTCTGGTGAAAAGAAGGTCTAAGGGTGACTCTATGACAGCTGTGTGCCTAAGGCTGGAGTAGAATGCTCACTCTCCCTGAAATTGGCCCGAAGTGTTTTGCGAGATGGGCCAAAATGTTTAGCAACTTGTCCACCAATTCTGTAAAACCACTTAGAGAGGGCTGTAAAGCACTATTGCTATGATGGTGATGATACAGTAATGATATGTAGAAAGGACCAAGAAAAGATTGGGCAAAGAGAACCTGCCAAGGGACATGGTCGGATAAGGGACAATAGACCCTGCGGCTGGATAGCGGGGAGATGCAAGAGGATCAGAAGATACTCTCTTTTAACCTTTTCGGAACCAAGTGCCAAAATGGGAACACGTGCAAGCTGAAAATGCACCAAGTGCCGGAATACAGCCACACACATGTATGGGTGTGGGAAACTGGAAGGTCAGTTTCCTGGCGTGCACATGAGTGCTGGCCACCTGGTCTTTCAGTTACTAACACGTATGTGCACACGAAGATCAGCTGCCGGCATTGTGTATGCATGTTAGGGAGCTGCTCTTCCGGTTTCTGGCACTCCTGCACACAGGAAGATCAGCTGCCTGGCATACATGCATGTGCCAGAAGATCTTTCTTACATACATTACAATCTTAGGAGGAAATTAAAACTCTGCTCCGTGATTTACTTTACACATGGAGGGAAAAGGTCATCTTCTAAGTAATGGCTCCACTATTAGAGTTACACTTACCTAGAATTTTAGGGGTCATCATCCATGACACCGTTTTCCTTCCGTTTGCACAGATACAATAGGAATCTTCCTCCTCCTCCATAGGAGAGGCCTCAAAGTCAGCAGAAGGCGTCAGAGATATTCTGACCTGGAAAAAAAAATAGTTCAAAGGGAAAGTTATACATCCCCATCTGCAGTGCAGAGAAAAACTCATAATCATCATTTCCTATGAGGCTGAGCCTTTCAAAAGGCTCTCAAAAGATGGTGTCTTCAGCAACATTGGTGAACCCATGGGGAGCCTGCACAATGGTCATACTATGATTAGGTGAATGTTCCTCCCCCCCAATTTTGCTTTTATTGATTGGTTCAGTTTTTAACACCTGTGGTAATGTTTGAATATTTGTTTGTTTATTGGATTGTTATGCCTCCATCTTCCCTACACACACACACACACACACACACACACGAATGAATGAATGAATGAATGAATGAATGAAAAGGATAATATACAGTCTGTTCAAAACTCTTTTATTCTCCTAGAAACTAGGCAATATGCTTTGAAAGGTTCCATCTTTACCTATATCTATATCTTTGTCAGGCTAAGCTCAAGAAAAGTTCATCCAGAGTTCAGATCTTTCTCTGCTTAAACACAATAGACAGAATCTTGCAAGCTCATTCCCAGTCTAGCAGGTATATCCTGGCAGATTCTAGGGAGTGGCTATCCAAAATCTCTGTCTCCTATCCCGCTCCAAGCTGTGGTGCCTCATCCCCCCCTCACTTTCTAGAATGTGCCCCTCCTTCCTGGGAAACTGCTACTTCACTCTCTAACTCTCCCTCCGTATGCACCATCTCTCATAGTTTTTTCGAATAAATTATCCTTTGGAACTGGTTGAATTAAAAGTTAATCATACTTCCATATTGTAGGCATGAATGTATGAGGAAGAAAATAGCCAGGCTGGTCCAAGTATTTTGTTGCAAAAAATAAAGAATGTAGAATTATATCCCAAGTCTTGACATCATAGTAGATACAGAGCACAGTTATTCTAGTGCTTGAAGTAAGAATCCAATAAGCTTCTCTTTGCTATTCTTGGTAAAAATGAGCAATTAAAGAACTCAAAAAGCGGGATCAACCCCATTCTTGCTAATGGTAAAACCAACCACAATCTTTTGGGTACAACCTACACTCCCTCTGTTAGTTCTAGTTCATTTCCCCCATACACTCATTACTTTCATGGATGCATTATTCAATAGAGAAGCATCTGCTAAGAGTAGTGTTTTCAAACTCAGCAACTTTAAATTGAATGGACTTCAGTTTGCTGGCTGGGGAATTCTGGAAGTTGAAGTCCAAACATCTTAAAATCACCAAGCTTGAAATAATGTACTATAGGAAAAAAAAGGTATTGAAAGCCAGTTCTCTAGCAAAAATGGGAGCGCAGGTATTGGGGTTTTTTGTTTGCAAATTGGGGCATGATAATTTCAGGCAGTTTTGAGACCTTGAATGCAAACAATGGACAGTTAAGAATTAAGCACCTGAAAGCAGAACAAGAAGTAATGGATGGAAACTTAAGGAGAGAAGCAATGCCTGAGAATGAGAAAAATCAGTGGAATAGGCTGCCTCCAGAAATTGTGGGTGCTTCATCACTGGAGATTTTAAAGAAAAGATTGGATAGCCATTTGTCCAAAACGGGTGTCAAACTTCAGGCCCGCAGGTCAGATATGTCACGTGCTGGCCCTGCCCCCATCTGATTTAGTGAAGGGGGGAAAGTCCCGATACATCACGTGATGATGCTGTGATGACACGAGCTTGACACCCCTGGTCCAGAATGATGTAGGTTCCTGCTAGAAGAGGGGGTGTAATGCCCCAGCATATAACTTTTATATACTATTGTTGCTCTCTAGCCCCATCTAGTGTCCGGAGAGACAATTACCAATTATATTGTTTGAAGCTGATCTAACCTCTTTACCCATCAGCCTGCACTCTTAAGGGCACACTATAAAGCCAGACTCCATTTCCTTTAGCATTTGGAGAAGGCAGAAGCACAAAGAAGAATCCATCTTGATCTGTGGCACATGGTCATCCAAGGACAGACCCACATCCCACACACAGAGCGTTGTTGGTGAGATTTAAATTTATTGTTATGTTCAGCAGTAACTCAATATTATCTATCTTGTATTTGGTTCTCATTGTATGTATTGCTATTTTCCCCGAGTTTCACCATATCCTGGTCTTTGAATAAAGCATTCAGATCTACGCACATGGTCTGTTTTATTGGTGGATGGGTGGGTTTAGCTGCATGTCTAGCTGCGCACAGACTAATGTGTATTGAGGACAGAACGGGGTGGGTGGGCCTAGAATACCACCCAAGATCTCTTCCAGCTCTGTTATTTTGTTATTCTGAATTGGAGCAAATGGACTCAGCCAGAGAAAGAGGACGAAGCAATTCCAAGAATACAGTCCCATAGCCAGCAGTAAAGTGCTTCTTACCCGGATGCAGTAAGTCAGGTAGGAGAAGACGGTAGCCTTGAGTGGGAAGGCTTCTCCTCGCACCACAGAGTATGGAAAGGTGAGTTCAATGAAGAACGGCTGGAAGGCCTTCAGAAAAGTGGGCTGGGCCAGGCCAAAGCCTGCATCTGCTGAAAGACAGAAAGCTCCAGCTTTCCATTCGGTGATGGTGTCCGGGATGGTCACAGGAAGAGCAATCTCTTTGGGTTCTTCAGATACATCACTCTTTCTACTGGAACTATGGAGTTGAGAATGGCTATTTCCTTGAGAACCACTGAAGGACACAAGAGAATAGAAAGTGAGTGAAGCAATCCACTATAGGTGTGTTGATTTCTGGCAGTTAGTTCTGGTCTCCAGCAAGCAAGCCCCATTGGGGAAAAAAGGATTTGCTTAACAACCATGCTATTTGTTTAATGACCATGGCAAAAAAAAAAATCAGGGCCAGGTCACCGTGCCTCAATTCACAACTGCAATGACTTATGACCATAATTCCAGACTCAACTAGGAATATAAATTTAGCACTAACCATACATTTTGAGGGGTGGGGGGAACAGCATAAAAGATAGCTTAGTCCCGGAGCAGTTGTGCAAAGCACTCCAAATGAATCAGATGTCTACACAATAATACAGGTGGTCCTCAACTTACAACAGTTCCCATAGTGACCGTTCAAAGTTACAAAGGCACTGAAAAAAAACTGGCTTATGACCATTTCTCAAAGTTGCAACCTTTGCAGCTTCCTCATTGTCATGTGGATGAAAATTCAGATGCAGCTTCCTTCTCCTGGTGCCTTCTAGATATATTGGATTACGACTGCCTTCATGCTCAGCCAAGCCAGCTCAAACTTGCCATTGGGGATGATGGGAGGGGGGAGCTATAGCCGTCCATACCTGGAAGCCCCCCTGGGTTGCAGGAATTGGTCTCCAGGGAAATCTCTTAGGTTGTGCTATCCACTTACTTTATAATAACCAGGTCCCATATCCACGTTTCAGGAAACAAGCGCCGAGGTGTCCTTTTAGGAGCAGCCTCAACCTGAGGTGTGGGAAGCCCCGGAAGAGCAACACCAGCACTAAAGGAAACTCCAGGGATTGGCATAGAGCCAATTCCTGGGTTACTGAAATGCTGAACAACAAGAGGGCGTCCAGGTCCTGGTAAACCATCTAATTTCATTGCCATCACTGTAACACAGAGAGAAAGCCATTTGATGAGTTATACTCAAAGGATACTAATCCCTCCCCTCCCACATCCAGTTTTGATCTTTGTCTGCATAGATTCATAGTGGATGACTGGAGGCTTCCAGACAGTTGGACAACAGGGGAACGATGTCCTAATTTCACCACTGGAAGCCTCAACCTTTCCACTTTCTTTGCTTCATGGAACTCTGTTCCAGAATTCAAACATCACCTGTTAGATTCCCCCATAAACTCCACCCTCTTTGTTCTATATTAACATACTCCAAACCCTGAATCCTGATTGGTCCACACGGACCGCAACCTGATTGGACAACTAAGCAGCCGTGATTGGTGCGCTAAGAATCAACCGCAATTGGCCGAGCTGATCGCAGGAGATTCAAAGCGCTGTCATTGGCCGCCGAGCCGCAAGCAACCCCTATATGAAGGGCTGCCACGGACCGCAGGTCTTGTACAGAACTGTAATCTGAATAAAGAGCTGAATGTTCACTTTTGGTCTCGCGTCTCTGTGGGGACCGATCTACCCGATCTAACACTCTTTGTGATGGTTACTATCAACCCTTCAATTAAAACAGTGTTGTGCGATGTCTAAGTATATTCACTCGTGTTGTATGGCTGTGGTATTATTATTAAACTTTTCATCTTTTCTACTGTCCGCTCTTATTGGCATCATATTGAGATTATTATGTAAATGAAGACTCAATTACCCAGGGCAAAAGTATGTAAAAAGGTTAAATCATGGCAAACTGGACCAAAGTCCTACTCAATTACTCTTTCACTCTATGTGTAACCCAGAAGTTTTCTTTTGACAGAAGGAGTTAAACTTGGATGAGTAATGAAACATCTCAGTTTAGTAAACTTTGGTCCAGTTGCCATAATTTAACCTTTTTACATATTATGATTATTATTGCTCTTGCTTTGCATGCACATTGAGAACTTTTATACCGGAGACAAATTCCTTGTGTGTCTAATCATGCTTCGTCAAATGAAGTGTTCTGTTCTGTTCTGTTCTGTTCTAGTCCATCCCATTCCATTTAATATCAACCCCTCAATTCCTCCCCCCACTTAACCTCAACATCTAATATGATGCAAGGGGTGGTGGGAGGAACTAAGTTTCTGACAAGATGGTGGCTCCAATTGGTTGATCAAAGTCACACCTCTTTATATTGACAGGCATAAAAAAGGGACAGGCTTCACACACACAGGTCTGGCTGTCATCCTGACTTAAAAAAAAAAAAAAACTTTGCCTCAAATATCTTTTTACTGGAGGGGATGTGTCTTAACATTAACCGTGTGAATTATGCTTTGCTTAGTGGGGCGCTTTTGTAGCCTATTGATGCTTCAATGGGAGGAGAATCTACTGCTTCATGGTTTTGGTTTCTGTCGCTTGCACATGTCTCTGTACAAGTCAGGATTTGAGTCCTCAACAAGTCAGGAATAGCAATAGCACTTACTTATATACCCCTTTACAGTGCTTTACAGTCCTCTCTAAGCGGTTTACAGAGTCAGCGTATCGCCCCCATCAATCTGGGTCCTCATTTTACTGACCTTGGAAGGATGGAAGGCTGAGTCAACCTTGAGCCTGGTGACATTCGGACTGCTGGCAGTCGGCAATACTGCACTCTAACCATTGCACCACCATGGCTCTTCTCAATTGCTTAAGAGAGTTCAGGTCAAGGATTTTTGGGGCATTGCCCATGTGGTGACATTATATGTAACAATGACATGGTGCAGATCATATGGATTCTAGGGTACAGAACAATGAAACAACAGAGCTGGAAGAGACCTTGGAGGTCTTCTACCTGCTGTTTGAGCATAATATCCTATACCATTTGAGACAAGGGGTTGGCCAATCTCTTCTTAAAAGTCTCCAGTGATGAAGAACCCACAACTTCTGAAGGCAAGCGGTTCCACTGGTTAGCTGTTCTAACTGTTGGGCAAGGGCTCTTTATTTATAGGTTGGTCCTCTCTTTGATTAGGTTTCAACCATTGATTCTTGTCCTGGCCTCAAATGCTTTGGAGAATAGGTTGACCCCCCCTCCCTTCTCTTTGGCCACCCTTCAAATATTGAAAGACTGCTATCATGTCAACCCTAGTTCTTCTTTTCATTAGACTAGACATACCCAATTTCTGCCGCAAAGGAACTCCCTCAGCCACTGTGGAACACAGGAATTTGGGATCAAATCTCAGCTATCAGGGTCTCCATGCATGAAAGAGTTCCAGCACTCAATCCTGGAAGTAGCTCGATTATAAAAGATACTTTTCCTTACCACTTTTTCCACATTCCAGTTCTTACCGTTAGCAGAGCAGTGACGTGGGATGTACAGCCTGGTGTTGGTAAAAATGTTCACACCGAATTCCTACCAGATAAAGCAAAGAGCCACTGAGGAACAGTCCTTTCTGCTCATGAAAACTAATGATCAACGTTTATTCTCAGTACGTGCTAATATACCCAACCATAAGGAATGTATTATTGAAGACACTATCTCCAGTAAAAAATAAAAAAAAATCATAATGCTGTATCCTCTGTACATATCACAGCCCATTTGGGTGGCACTTAAAGGGACAGAGAAGCAACAGATGGAAATTGGCATCTTCTATATCCATCTTCATTTATTTTATTTATTTGATTTGTCAATCACTTCCATGATAATAGGTATAAGTATAAACATGAGTGAGAATACAGGAAATAGGTACAAATAAATGAGGACAATAGGACAGGGACAGGAGGCACGATGGTGCACTTATGCACGCACCTTAGATATAGCCAGAAAGCCAATCCCTTGATGGGTCTGTAGCAGAGAAGCAGTGGGAGAGAAGTCTTTGTTCACGGGTGTCAAACTCAATTGTGTCACGTGGCATCTCGAAATGTATCGCAATGTTATTTGTCCTTTGCAGAGCTGGGGTAGGCATGGCCTGTGTGTTAGGGATAACATTGTTTACCCTAACTGCTTTGGGTAAAAATAATAAATATGGTATCATGGTTTGTTAGTTAAAGTGTGTGTAACTTTAACTGCAAGAATGTAATTAAGGGTGTGGTTGTAAAAGCACTATATAAGAAGCGAGGCAATTGCAGCTCGCTCTCTCTGGCTTGAAGATCCCTAATTACTGGATGGATTGATGACTGCGTTCTAGCTGGAACGGGGAGAGAAAAAGGAGTGTTGATTTTTCTCAACGGAGAGAAAATAAAGATTGGACTGATTTATTGTAAGTGAACTGACATTGGCTATTCAACACGGACTTTGCAAATTGAGTATCCCCGACAAGACTTGACTGAAATGATATATGATTAATGGACCGTTTATCTGACTATGCTATAATTCTTAAATGGAATAAACTATATTTTTGATAGCACAAGCGTATCTGTATTTTTACTGCGTGTTAACTAAAAAACTTATCTCACACATTTACCTGTCTTCCTATCTGACTTCGCTGCACGTTCTGTTTAGTTTGTTTTCCTTAACACCCGTTGGGGAATCCAGGCTTAACACTGTGTGTGATGTATCTGGCCTGCAGGTCCTCAGTTTGACAGGTCTTTCTTAGCAGATGGCAGCTCTTGGCTGATAGCAATAGTACTTGTATACTGCTTCACAGTGCTTTACAGCCTTCTCTGAGAGGTTTACACAGTCAGCCTTTTGCTCCCAACAATCTGGATCCTCATTTTACCGATCTCAGAAGGATTTGGAAACTGAGTCAACCTTGAGCTGCTCAGAATTGAACTCCTGGAGTAAACAGTGAGTTAGCCTGCATTACTGCATTCTAACCACTGTGCCACTAGGACTTTTAACTCTTGGTGCAATGATTCACTCAACAACTGTGGCAAGAAAAGTCATAAAATGGGGCAAACCTCACTTAACAAATGTCTCACTTAGCAAGAGAATTTTGGGGCTCAATTATGGTCATAAATTGAGGACCACCCATAAGGTTAGATTAAATCCCAGGGCAGATGGTTAGAAAAGACAAACCATTAAGAAAATAAGGAAAGCATATCATGAATTAAGGCGAATATATGTGTCCCAGGATAATGTTCCAGGACCAATCTCAGTCAGTCACAGGAACAAGGGATTTTGTCTTCTGAGTTTTGGGATCATGCTAGAGCTCATCTTCAGGGAACATCTCTCTACCAGAATGCGTGCTAGTTTCCTGAGGATGGGCTCCAGCATGAGACTGAAAATGTGGAAGACAAAACCTCTGGTCTCGGTGACCGACCCAGATTGGATCCTGCAAGGAAACTATATCTCTATGGATCTGCCCAGGAAGATACCAGAAGTCTACTTCAGCTCAGCAGAGAACCAACTATGCACTTCTCCTTGCCTAATGAGAGCATCTCCCCTGTGGGGAATCAGAACTTTGATGCTTACCCTGAATATGCGGTAAGAATCCCCATCTTCAGGAATAAAATGCACTGAGAAGCCAATTCTTTCACCCCTCGATGGATTTTTTGCAGGACAGGGATAAATATTGAATGCATTCTTATAGAGGTCAACAGAGAAGATGTGATCCTTCTTGGGAAGGAAGTTGTAAACCTGAAACCAGAAAGGATGCAACTGAGGATGGAGATTTCAGCTAGAGGAACTTCCTGCCCATCAAGTTGCCAATGAAATGCCAATGAAACAGACTGTGAAATAGCAATAGCACTTAGAATTATATACCACTTCATAGCATTTTACAGTCCTCTCTAAGTGTTTTACAGAGTCAGCCTATTGCCACCAATAATCTAGGTCCTCATTTTACCGACCTCGGAAAGATGGAAGGCTGAGCCAACCTTGAGCCAGTCAGAATTGAACACCTGCAGTGAGCAATGAGTTAGCCTGCAGCACCTGTACTCTAACCACTGCACCGCCACGGCTCTTGATAGAATGGGAGAATGACCTTGGGAGATGAGAAAAGGGAGAGAGATCAGATAAAAGAGGGACAAACCTAAAGCTGAGTAATGGACAGGTAAAAAGAGACAGCAGGTGAATTGTACTTTCAAACCTGCAAGATTAGTATCAGCCTCTCACGTACAGTAGACCAAACAATCAACACAATAAGATTAGTTGATTGTAAGGCCACATTAATAGTCTTGCAATCTGAAAGCACAGTTATCCTGCCACATCTGTTCAGCAGTTGATCAATTAGGGCAGATCCCTTCCACATTTCTTTCTCTGTTCATTGCTTCATTTTGGGCTCCTTAGGCACCATCTCTTCTGTCTGTCTTCCAAGGTCATTCTCACGTTCCATTATAGGCCGCCACATGAAATGGTGAGTTCTCTTTTACTGGAAATCTCAAAGCAGAGGCCACCTTGGTCTTCTGGCCAAGATGATCCACATGATTCTACATTGAGACACCTCTGAGACAGGCTGGGTTAAGAATTCAGGAGTGATCCGAGCAAGCATCTATGTTTGATGGAGAACCAGAATTTGGCTTCTTGGTCTGTGACCTTTCCCAGTACTCCACACTGGCTCTAGGACTCTGTGTCAACTTCAAAGGGAGATTTTGCTGATTGCAGCCATTGCCACTCTTCAGCTGCCACAGAGTCAGTGGGAGAGGGATGTCATTTCCAGAGAGCAACAAGAAATCGCCCCATGGGAACCAAGGTTGCCTAACCAGATGTTCTACTAAGACTTGGACAGTTTTCCATAACAATACCTGGACATTTAATTGGACAATGTGGCCTGCACTTATGAGAAGGGAGGGAGATTCTATTCTTTAATTATGTGAAAACTGTGGGAACTAGTTAGAGTTGGTTTTGCTTCAATCGGTGCCGACATGATGTACTCAATAAAGTTTAGCATAAAGAGATTGGATCGCCTCAAGCTTGCTTGCTTGCTTGGGTTTGTCAGTTGGAACCTTGACACTCTGAGAATGGGACTGACTCAAAGTTCCTCAGGAATTTTATTCCTAATCCATTACTTTCACCACTATAACACACTACTTTGCATTATGGCAAAATCTCTGGACTCTGATAGTGGGCTGCCCTCAGTCTACATGCTTTGTCCTTCTATTTTTCCTACATTTTTTCCCCCTAAAATTAATTTATGGACAATTTTCTTTACTTCTCCTTCCCTGCAATCCTCCCCTAACTTCTTAAATTTAGTTGTGAC